ACCCCCTGTAACGCCGATGAACCCCCACGCCTGCCACACCTGGCGAGCCCGAAACGGATAGCGACCGCACCCCCAGCGCACCCTCTTGCGGCATCGAGGAAGTGCCACGCCAGCCACACTTTGCGAGCCCGAAACGGATAGCGACCGCATCCCCAGCGCCCGCCCTCTGTGACGTACGCTTTACGAGCCCGAAACAGATAGCGACCGCAACCCCCTGGCACCCCGTGTAACGTCGATAAACTGCCACGCCCGCCGTGCCCTGCGAGCCTGCACCGCAGAGAGACCGCACCCCTAACGCTCCCCCGTGCGGTGTCCATGAAGTGCCGCGCCTGCCGTGCCCTGCGAGCCGTGCCCTGCGAGCCTGCGGTGCCCAGAATGTTGCGCATACGTCGTGGGTGTGATGCAGTGAACACGCCAGGCGTGCATTGGCGTTGTTCGTGTGTGTGTGTGTGTGCGTGTGTGTGTGTGTGTGTGTGTGTGTGTGTGTGTGTGCGGGAGTGTGCATGCGTGCGGCTGCACGCAGACGCGTGTCTCATGTGCGTGCCGTGAATATGCTGCGCGTGGACGAGGCGGAATAGAAACAGAAAGGGAGGAAGGAGGGGGGCGGAATGTGAGCTTGTGAGTACGGGAGACGCGAGTGGAAAGTGAGAGGGAAGAAAACCATAACCCCACCGAGCATATGGGGACTAACAACAATAGTATAAGTCGTCATATTAGTATAGGAGTCGTAGTCGTAGTCGCAATAGCAGTAGTAGCAGTAGTAGTCGTAGTAGTCGTAGTAGTAGTAGTAGTAGTAGTAGTAGTAGTAGTAGTAGTAGTAGTAGTAGGTAGTAGTAGTAGTAGTAGTCGTAGTAGTAGTAGTAGTAGTAGTAGTAGTAGTAGTAGTAGTAGTAGTAGTAGTAGTAGTAGTAGTAGTAGTAGTAGTAGTAGTGGTAGTAGTACAGTAGTAGTAGTAGTAGTAGTAGTAGTAGTAGTAGTAGTAGTAGTAGTAGTAGTAGTAGTAGTAGTAGTAGTAGTAGTAGTAGTAGTAGTAGTAGTAGTAGTAGTAGTAGTAAGTCGTAGTAGTAGTAGTAGTAGTAGTAGCAGTAGTAGTAGTAGTAGTAGTAGTAGTAGTAGTAGTAGTAGTAGTAGTAGTAGTAGTAGTAGTAGTAGTAGTAGTAGTAGTACTAGTAGTAGTAGTCGTAGTCGTAGTGGTAGTAGTAGTAGTAGTAGTAGTAGTAGCAGTAGTAGTAGTAGTACTCGTACTAGTAGTAGTAAGAGTGGCAGTCGTAGTAGTACTGGTAGCAGGAGTAGTCGCCGTCGTCGTCTCAATAGAAGTAGTACTAGCCGTAGCAGTAGTAGTAGTAGTAGTAGTAGTAGTAGTAGTAGTAGTAGTAGTAGTCAGCACAAGTAGTCGTAGTACTAGCAGTAGTAGTAGTAGTAGTAGTAGTAGTAGTAGTAGTAGTAGTAGTAGTAGTAGTACTAGTAATAGTAGTGTTAGAAGTGATGGTAGTAGTAATAGTCGTAGCAGTGGCAGGTCGCAGTCGTCGTGGTGAACCAACAAATAGTAACAGTAAGCGTAGTAGTAGTAGTAGTAGTAGTAGTAGTAGTAGTAGTAGTAGTAGTAGTAGTAGTAGTAGTAGTAGTAGTAGTAGTAGTAGTAGTAGTAGTAGTAGTAGTAGTAGTAGTAGTAGTAGTAGTAGTAGTAGTAGTAGTAGTAGTAGTAGTAGTAGTAGTAGTAGTAGTAGTAGTAGTAGTAGTAGTAGTAGTAGTAGTAGTAGTAGTAGTAGTAGTAGTAGTAGTAGTAGTAGTAGTAGTAGTAGTAGTAGTAGTAGTAGCAGTAGCAGTAGTAGTAGTAGTAGTAGTAGTAGTAGTAGTAGTAGTAGTAGTAGTAGTAGTAGTAGTAGTAGTAGTAGTAGTAACACTAGTAGGTGGAACGCTCTCATGTCTAAAGAGGAATTATGATTGATCCTGCCTGCCTGGTGCACATGCTGCTACTCCTCCCGGGGCTCCCACCTTTTTGGGGCAGGGAAATCTTGGCTCTCAAAGTGTGCTCCTGGCCACCGAACTAAAGAAACAACAGCGGCTCCCGCCTCATACTTCCTTAAATACTATTTCAAATTCGCGCTCTTGCGCGAGAAAATGTCAGAAGTTATGCGGGAATCGCGCTCTCGCGTGGTACCTCCTCGCAACTTATTGCGGCGCCGTGCCCTCATCTGGATTTCTTTACGCTTTACTTAGGAATCGCGCTGTCGCTCGAAACTTCCGTCATGATGGGTTGACGCTTCAGCGACCAGCCCGCTCGACGTGGCCGTCTGGGCCCGCCCGCCCGACCTGCCCGTTGGGGTCCGACGACCCGACCCGCCCGTCTGGTTCTGCCGCTTGTACTCCTGCTCCCAACCCTGCTCCTGTCAATCTCTCTCGTGCTACATCCTTCTCCCTCCCTATTGTCTCTTCCCTCCTCCCTTCCTTCCCCTGTTCCAGGGGCCGCGCCAACTGCGAGCGGCAGGTAGGGAAAATATGCCCCCAAAGGGGGGACGATCGAAGACGAAGAGGACAAATATGGAACGTCTGGCGCATACACGTGCTGAATGGCATGCGATCCGGCCCGCCACCGTGCCTGCACGTCTTCCCTGGGAGGTCTGTCAAATTTTCGGGCCCCCCTGAAGGCATGCCGCCACGCTGGTTCCGGGCAGGCAGCGCTGTCCGGCGGAAGGGGGCGAGGAGGGGAGAAGCAGGCAGACGACGACGAACGCCCAGGCGGGAGGACAGGGCCGGCAAGGCGGGCGGGCAGACAGAAGATGGGCCAGGCGGAGACGGCGGGCAGGGAGCAGGAGGAAAGGGAAGGGAGGGAAGCAACGAGCAGCCACGGAGGGCGGGGGAGGACAAGGAGGAGGCCCCCACGCGCGCCGCCCCCCCCTTCGCCACACGCGCCGCCCCTTTCGAAATTGTGTTATGACGGTCATTTTGGCCTCCAGAGGGCCAAGATGGCCTCCCAGACTGCCTCTAAAGACAACCAAGACGACAACAAAACGGCTCAAGGTGGCCCAGCTCAAGAGCCTCTCAATAGAGCCTCAAGATGGCTCAAGACAGCCCATAGGGCCTCAAGACGGCCCAAGAGGCCCCCAAGACGGCCAGAGAGAGCTCCAAGAGGCCTTCCTGGAGAGCCAGAGGGGGCCAACACCATCGATGTTCATCAAGTGTTTGAAAGATTTTGAGGTTCTCGCCTGTTCGGGTTTCCGGCCACACAGAACGGCCCAAGAGGCTTCCGAGAGGCCTCCAAGTAAGTTCCAAAGCACCCCACGAAGCCCCCAAGAGGGCCCGAAGTCGGCTCACGAGATCCTAAAGGTATCCCAATTGGGGCTCCCAGAGGGAGCCCCAAGAAGGCCTTGAAACGCTCCAAAAGAACAACAAGACGGCCCAGAAAGGCCTCGTTGGCTGTCTTGGGCGGTCGGAAACCCACGCATGACAGAACCTCAAAATCCTTTAAACACCTAAGGCGCATCAATGGTCTTAGCCTCCACGGGTTCTACATCAGGACCTCTTGGAGACCTCTTGGGCCGTCTTGGCGACTTCTTGATCTGTCTTGAAGCTGTCTTGGGAGCCGCATGGCCTCTAAGACGGCCCAAGAAGCCTCCAAGATGCCCTTAAGGGGGCCCGAAGTAGGCCCCCCAAACCGCCCAATGGGCTCCCAAGAGGGCCCCAAGACTGCCGTGAACCGCTCCAAGAGGGCACCAAAGCGGCCTAGAGAGGCCTCCAAAGCGGCCTCCATATGCGTCAGATAAGCCAAGAGTTCCCTAAGATGGCCTATGAGGCCCCCAAGAGGCGCCATGAGGTCCCCAAGAAACGTTCAGGAAGCTCCCAGGAGCCCCGTTCAGCCAGCTCTTTGGGGAATGAAGAGAATTAAATTGTACTGTATAGATAGGAGGCCATACGGGAGACCATATGGGAGACAACGAGCGCCACCGACCCCGGATCCGCAGGGGCTTATGCCGCGCCTTGGAACAACTATGTAGGACCCTTCCAAACAAGCTGTTAGGAAAACTGAAGCCAATACAATGTTCTGTAGCAATCCTCCAAAGCCAGTCGTCCATCATCATGTCGAACTCGTTACTGTCAACCACCCTTCAAGCCTTTCCACTGCTTTGGTTTCTTCCGCCAGATCGATAAACACGCAAACACACACAAACACACCAACACACACACACGCAGACGCACACGCACACGCACACGCACACGCACACACAACACACACCACACACACACACACCACACACCACACACAACACACAACACACACACAACACTCACAACACACACACAACAGACACACACCACACACAACACACAACACACAACACACAACACACACAACTCACACAACACACACACAACACTCAACACACACACACAACACACACACACACCACACACACACCACACACACCACACACACACCCAAACACGCACACGCACACCCACACACACACGCACACACACACTCACTCACTCACTCACTCACTCTCACACACACAGTATACACAAACGGGCCCACTGCTTGGGCTTATGCATGTGTTGTGCCAAGTAAAATGCGTCGGTCGTCAGTGACGCCAACTTCTTGGACTGCTCGAGTTGGTGTATGGTGCGTTCAACTAGGCGATGGTTCGTGTAGATGACTTCCGCCCCCTTCTTGCGCAGCCTCCCCACGAACATCGATGATAATACTGACCCAATGCTCTTGTCTGTGATGTGGCAAATGTCTTACTGGCGTTGCGTCTTGCAGTGGTAGTTGTCCCGCTCCACTGCGACGGGACTGGCGCTGGCGCTGCCTGCGTGAGATGGCGCGCCTATCGCCTTTGTGCGCGCGTCTTCCATGCAATATGGCCACGGTATAGATACGGGTGGCATGCTGGGCTGTTTTTCTATGACATCCTCGAGCGTTGGCTCGAGACTACATCGACTACAATGCTGGCGAATCTGACAATGACTGTGGTGATAATGACGAGGGAGATGAAGATGTCCTCGACCGTAGCGAGGCGCTCCTTCGGCACGGGTGCCGCCGTCAAGTGGCAATTCACCACCGCCACGTGCTGCACTGTGTCAGAAGAGACGTTGGTCCCGCTCGTCGACACCTCGAATAGGGTTACCAGAGAGCGATTGACCTTGTGCGCAGACGACAGTTTTCTATGAACATGCAGTCTCTGACTTTGGCAGCGGCTGGGGTAAATTGCTCCAACCCCCTCCTCTGCTTCAACTGCTCTTGAGGCCGTCTTCCAGAAAGTTGCCGGCCGAATAGAACCTTTCTGAAGCAACTCGCCCTCGTAGCCGAGCTCAAGCATGAATGCGAAGTCTGACTTGAATGTCGCCTGCACCGCCTCCTCTGGAGACAATCCTTCGAACTTTGATACTCCTCGGGAATTCCACGGCTCTTGAAAACACACTATGTCCGCATCGATGCGAGACACCAATCGCTGTAGCAAAGCCACCCGGTGCTGCCAGCTTGTCGCATCAACTCGGCCAGTCTTTGTCGATGTGTCTGCATCAGCGGCATCGAAGTACTTGTAGATCCACCGAGGATGATGATGATGAGAAGGAGGGTGAACGTATGCCAAGGATGAGGAACAGCAGCAGGAGGCAGACAAGGGAGGAGGAGCAGGATATCCACCACACACCGCTGGTCTCGCTGTTCGGAAAGAGAACGTTGAACGTCAGCACGCGGAGCGTGGGGGAGGATCCTTTCGCGACGCCCACGGCAAGAGACGGCTCCGTTTCCGTCTTGACCTCCGTGCCCCTGGCCCCCGAACCAGCTGCGACGGCGAATCCGATGCCGCGGAGGTAGTCCAAGGAGAGCCCCCCTTCCATCCAGGCCAGCGCGGCCCAGCTGGCCTACAGCGCCGTCGGTCGGGTCGTGAGCGCGGGCTGGTGCGACGCACCTCTTCTTGTGGCATCAAGGCTGGCCTGGTCGCCAGCAAAACTGCATGAGCCCAACGGCAGGAGCAGGGGGGTAGGGGAATGGCGGAGGAGCAGGTGGGTAGGGGAAAGGGAAGGGGTGTAGGAACACATGCTGGCCGAGGGAACGTATCGGCCGGAGAGGCGCCGCGCCGAAAGGATGCGAAAGAAAACTGATAAACCCCGTACATGGATAATGTCTGGCAGCACGTGACGTCATAATTGCTATAGCCAGCTGCGAAAATAATCGCCGACACAGCGTGCTTTTGCTCGAACAATCATTCTGCCACGTTCTGAACGCGCAACTGTTCCCAACCATCCTGTGGTGTTGGGTCCTCGTTTTGAAGACGGTCCACGCGTTCTCCTCCTCCCTCCTTCCTCCTCTTTCTCCTCCTCCTCCTCCGTCTCCTCCTCCTCGTCCTGCTCCTTCTCCTCCTCCTCCTCCTCCCCCTCCTTGCCTTTGCTTTCCGCATGAAAGATCGTTCCTAAACAACCTCACGACGCCCGATCCAACCCCCATGACCCCCTGCGGCGACCCCCACCGGCGACCTGGTACCGGCCACGACCGCCAACCCGCCGCGACAGCCCCGCGACGCCCCGCGACAATTCCGCGACAATTCCGGGACAATTCCGCGACACTCCCGCGACAATTCCGCGACGCTTCCGCGACGATTCCCTGTGGCGCAGCTCGCATGGCGCCGCCGCCCCATTTTGGCACACCCCTCTCACGCTTCGTGGCCCCATAGGGAGCTCCACCTAAGGTCCCAATGGCGCAGCTCGCATGGCGCCGCCGCCCCATTTTAGCACACCCTTCGCACGTTTCGTGGCCCCACAGGGCCACAGGGAGCTCCACCTAAGGTCTCACTGGCGCAGCTCGCATGGCGCCGCCGCCCGCCATCCCATTTTGGCACACCCCTCACACGTTTCGTGACCCCAGAGGGAGCCCCTCCTAAGGTCCCAATGGCGCAGTTTGCATCGAGTTCTTCCTGGCAGGGCCGCCGGAGGGCTTGCGGAAGCAGCTGGGGCAGTTTTCCACGCGCACGAAACGGTGCAGGAGGGAGGCGGCGGCCCTCGCGAGGGAGCGAATCTTCGCCGAGCTTATCCGCGAGGCTTGACCTGAGGAGCGGCCCGCCCGAGCCTCGCCGTTTCTCGACGGTCTGACTGTTTGGCCTCGCGCCGCGGGCGACCCGCGCGCGTCGCTGGGACCCTCTCGGGGCGACCAGCGCGCGTCGCGGGAATTCCGCGCTGCGCTCTGCCCAGAGCCTCGCTCGCCCCCGTCGTCGCTCTGCCCAGCGGCCACAGCCTTGCCCGCTATCACCCTGCCATCTAGCTCTGTTTTCTCCGCGCAGCGGGCGACCCGCGCGCGTCGCCGGGACCCCTTCCGGGGCGACCAACGCGCGTCGCGGGGACTCCGTGCGGCGCAGCGCCCGCAGCCTTGGACAAGGGTGTGCACGGGCAGAGAGGGAGAACAAAAAACGGGAAGGAAGCGGGCGCGATCCTCGTGAGGAGCGTGACGACATGGGCGTCGCAGCGTGCGGGCGCTGCTGCAGGGGAAGCTTCCTGCGGCGGCCACGCTCAATGTCACGAATATGCAGGGTCAGGCATAAGTGAACCATTCACGTTCGTGTATATATATATATATATATATATATTTATACACACCAGGCGTGGCCATGCTCGCATTCATGCAACTACGCTCACTTGCACGCAGACTCATTTACACTCAGATTCACTCGCGCTCAGACTCACCCGCGCTCAGTCTCTCGTAATTAGACCTATCGTCATCGTTCGTGTTGTGTACTCCGCCACGCAATTCGGCGCACCCTTCATACGGTTAGTAGCCCCATAGGGAGCGCCACCGAAGAAGGTATTCACAATTGCGGTACTCACACCTGCATATGGTTGGGTCCTTCGCCAGGCTAATTTTTGTGGTGAGCACTGACATCTGACGTCGTGAACAAAATCACATAATGAACTCAATCCTGACTCGTTGCGCGGAATGTTTCAAGCAAGACCGATCTAAGTGAGCCCTCGGGCCGGAAACAATCCCAAAAAGTTCATGGTGATGTTCTTTCACGACGCCCGGATGTGAGGGGTGGGGGACGGGGGAGGAAACGAACCGACCTGAAAGAGGGGACGAGGGTCCTGGTGTTGAGCGAATCCTGGGTCCCTAGCCTTTCCCTGGGCAAGCTTTTCAATCCTGAGTTGGTTTCTGATGGCCCTCGGGATCAAGGAGGGCTTTGTGAGCCCGGAAAACGCGAAACACCCGCTGTCCGTGCATCACCGCGCACACTCTGCCTCCGTAGTAGCAGGAAAAAAGGAGGAAGGGTGCGGAAAGAAGACACGGGCAGGAAAGGTCGGAAGAGAGGGAGGAGAGGGAGAAAGAGAAGGACACGGAGGCGGAGAGGATGGAGTGGAGTGGACCCCGTTGCGGAATGTAAGTTCGTCTGGTAACCCTATTTAGAGAGATGCTTTAGACCGCTTCGCCTTGAATTAGAAGGATTGGGAGCATGAGGAGGCGGAGACAAATATATGGTCGAGTAGGAAGAGTGGGAGGAGATGGTGATGAAAATGGGAGGAGGAGGGTGGAGGAGGAGGAGGAGGAACAGGAGGATGAAGAGGAAGAGGCGGAGGAGGAGGAGGAGGAGGAGGGGGGGGATGAGGAGCCGCCGCTCTCCTACATGAGCGATCCAGACAACTGCGAATGATTCTGAAGTTGCCTACCATAAACATACTGGAGGCAACATGCACCCACCAAGCCAACGCCGCACCAATGTTCCCGATGCTACCCGCCCAGAGATGTGCACCGCGACGAAGCAAGAGCGTGCTTTGTGCGCGCCACCTGGGCACCGGATGTTTGCCAAGCGCACTCACCCCCGCTGCTGCAATACCGTTGCTGCAGACCTCTGTTCCAGCAAGGCGCTGGAAGTGTCTAGGGGTATCCAGAAGTCCCCAAAGACCTTCGGGCCCCCTCTGCAGAACCAAAGCGTTCAAGTACAACCAACTGCCCCTGGAACGTAGGAGCGCGTGAACTTGCGGTCCAACGAACCATAAAAAAAAACGCTCATGGACCCCAGCCACCAAAACATTGGGGTCGGCCGGGCCTATGTGGTTCAGGACTACAAGCCCGCCGCCCATGCCGACGAAGACGATGCTGAAGAGCAGCCAGAAAACCGCCGAACCGCTCTTCTGGCCAGGGTCAAGCGTCGTCGACCCCCCGCGCGCGGGAGCTGGAGGAGGGGAAGGAGGAAAAACAGAAGGGGGAGAAGGAGGAGGATGAAGAGGAGGAAGAGGAGGAGGATAAGGAGGTGTAGGAGGAGGAAGAGGAGACGAGATATGAGAGAGAGCGTGATCCACCGTCGCTTTACTGTGGAAAATTGCCCCCCTCTTCCTCCGGAGCCTGGGGGTCCCCCCCCCTCCGAAAATCCCCCCCCCTCCCCCCTGCTGGACCCCCTCCCCCCCCCCTCCTCCCCTCCCCCGGCCCCCCCCCCCCCCCTCCCCTAACCCCTCCCCCCCCCCCTCTCCCTCGAAAAACCACCGCGAACGCCCCCCCCCCTCCCCCTCGAAAGCCGGAGGGGGGGTCACTACCGGTTCGAACCCCTCCCCACCCCCCCCACTCACCGCCAGCAAACGACTCCCGGTCCCTACCACCGTCCGCGCCACATCCCCCACTGTTGTTCCCAGCACCACTGTCCTCACCACCACTGTCCCCACTGGTTCCACCACCGTCCCTACTGTCCCCACCAGTGCCCCCACCACTGTCGCACTGTCCCCACTGTCCCCACCACTGTTCCCACCACGGTTCCACTCTCCCCACATTCTCCACGGCCCCAGCCACTGCCCGACTATCCCCACTGTCCCACTGACTCCTCCGCTGTCCCACTGAGCTGTCCCACTGTTCCCACCACTGTCCCCATTGTCCCCGCCACTGTCCCCACTGTACCTCTGTCCCATTGTCCCACCGCCGTTCTCGCCACCGCCTTCACCACTGTCCCCACCACCACTGTACCCTCCACTGTCCCACTGTTTTCACCTCCCGCTGTACTGTCCCCGCCACCGCCGTCCCCACCACTGTCCACTGTCCCCACTGTTCCCACCATTGTCCTCACCACCGTCCCCACCACTGCAGTCCCCACCACTATCCTACTGTCCCCGCCACTGTCCCGCTGTCCCCTCGCCACTGTCCCCACCACCACCGTCCCCGCCACTGTCCGCACCCCCCTCGGTTTTCGAGGGGGGGGGGTTTGAACCGGTAGTGACCCCCCCCGGTTTTTGAGTGGGGGGGGTCGAATTCGAACCGGTAGTAACCCCCCCCGGTTTTCCGGGGAAGGGGGGGGAGGGGTTCGAACCTGTAGTGACCCCCCTCGGTTTTCCGCCAGCAGCGGTAGAACACGCTCTTGCAGATATGAGGATGTTGGTGTGAAAGAATGAACAAGGCGAGTGTCTTCTGTGTCAGCGTACAGAGAAAGCGCAAAGGCGGGCACGGAAGCCCCATCGCACAAATGGCAGCGGCAAGGGGAGATCGTTGCAACAGGCAGAGGTAAGAAGGGGCAGGTGAACTACCGTTCGAGCCGTCGCGCAGTCGGGAAAACACGAGAAAATAATGGCTCTACTGACCGCCCCGTCATTCAATGTTGCCTGACCGCATCGGGACAAGTTCACCTGGATTCGGCATGGCCCTGGGCTGGCGGACTTCTCTCCGCTCCGAGAGGCACATTGCCCCCCCCCCCGCGGCGCCAGCCGCAAAAAACATTTTACGGCGCCAGTGGCAGGATTGGAAACGCCTTCGCTAGAGCCCGTGGGACTAACCGAAGCAGGCTAACCAATGCCCCACTTGAAAACGTGCGAGGCTATTGGGGAGCGCCTGCTAAAAGTCCGCGGCCTGCCCGGACACAGCCCAGGCGAGCCTGCTC